ACATCCCTAAAGGTGTATCCACACGACGGACCAAATTGTTGTTTTGGTCCGCGGGCCGCGCACCACGTGATCTTACGTCACCGGTTTTCGAGGTCCGCCGGTGGTCCGCGGCCCGCGCTTCTGAGAAATGCCAAGCGACTTTTCTCGCCCGGACCTTGGCGGCGGACCGCGGCGTTTTCAGTATAATTGAAGCGCTAAGTCTGGCAACAAGCTGACTTTTGTTGTTTGGATTGGAATCCAAATCCAAAGTCGTTTTCTTTTGGCGCCAACTGTTGAAGACGAAGAAAACGAACCTTCTGTTGTGCGACGATGCCATGGAGCAATTCCCCGCTCTGTGGGACAATATTCCCGACGACTACTCAAATAATCATCTAAAGATGTCCCTATGCCTTTTTCGCTTCACTTAAGTCCTCCTCGTTCTCAATAGTCAACGCCAGGGCACCGCGGCCAAACGTCGCTTTCGTTCAACCTCCATCTTGGCTCCTTACAAATAGCCTCAAAGCAGCTCGCTGCATGCGTTTGGTGGAGCTGTGAGGTCGAGGGTTAGACCGGCCCGTTCGCTCTGTCGTCTGCTCTTTTGGACCGCCGTGCGGATGCTCCTTGCAGCCGGGCGGCCCGCGGGCCGCGCATCACGTGATCAATCGGTCCGCGGCCCGGTCCGTCGTGTGGATACACCTTAACTGAAACATCCCCGGCTCGTACCGATACCACCTAGAAGACAGGGCGCGCGTCATCGTCATCACCAGTGGATCGACGCAGTGCCGCCCAGCTTGCGTCAGCGTCGCCGCCAGCGCGTCTTGCAGTGTCTCACAAGGATCGGGACGCTAGCACGCGCGGCGACGCCAAGACGGACGCGTCTGCCGCTTTGCGTTTTTTTTCCTCGTTGAGCTTTATCATGTTTGCCGCTGGAGGCGGATCGGGGATCTATTAATGATGACGTCATGCGTAGGCGAAGTCTCCTAGGTGGTGTTGCTCTTACCAACCTAACACGAGGCGGCTTGTGTATAAGTTGTCGCATATCGAGTGATCACTGGCTGTTACGATAACTACTTCCCCTAACACATTGTTGTTGGTTCTACCTAAAAATAAATTAAGCTGAGCGTTTTTATAGTTGGTCCGTTGAAAAATTCTTCAAAGCCAATCGTTTTAACTGTTTTTTTCTTTTAAAGTTGCTCAAATAAACTGAGATTATATTTCTTATTTATATGTTCATTTTGGTTTAGAACTTAGTTTGGTACGTCCAAATGTCACGTGCACTAAAGAGAGAAAGAGGGGGGGGGGGAAGGCGCGTACTATTACGAGAAAAATAATTACTTCCTAGCATAAAAATAAAGAGGGTCGACGTACCTTCAAAAGAATAATTAGTGTTGCCGTAATGACTACACAAGTACAAATGCAGTAGCTCCCCATGCGCCAAAATGTTTTTATATTTTGTTCACTGCGCATTCATTTTCGGGACTAGATTTTAATAAAAAAACATTCATATTAGAAATTCTAATTTTGTATTGTCTGCTTCAGAAATTTTACCATTTATATTCAATTTTAATTTTTTATGTTTTGTTTTGCGTCGAAGTGTTTTAAACATTTCCCTTTTGATTCCAGCAGTCTAATCTAATCTTTATATCGGAATCTTGAGCGTGAAGTGAAAGCTAGAAAAAGGAAAATTTATTTTGTATATTTCTGCAGAAAGCTCTTTAGGTTTGATCACCATTTTTTCTCAACGAATACTTAATTGAAAATAAAATTCCTGAAAATTCTTTTAGCCAACTGTATTAAAAAAAAAAACCTCATAAAAAAATGTTTACTATATGTTTTGACATAAACTTCATCAGATGTTATACCTATCGCTAGTAATGTATCACCGCGAGTCTTACTGTTGCTTACAGACATATCTAAATGTGAGGCTGTTAGAAAACTGACACCTACATCTGACCTTGCGTTAAGAAAGACGTTAAAAAAATCTTTCCAGCGTTAGATTAGCAAAAAAGAAAATACTTTCAGTGCAAGAACATTTAACATTTGTTTCATCGTTGCTTGAAAATAATAAGCATTGTTTTTGTATAGGTTTAAGGGAGAGGAAGGGGGTTAAACATGTCAAGCAGCCCTCTGCGACCAGCTTGATTTAGACAATATAAAAGTGTCTAGACAACATCGAGACTAGAGTGCCTTTCACGAATATCTTTGGAGCCTCAATAGTGCGTCAGGACTCACGTGTCTATTGTCACTACAGTTGCGAAGAGGACGAAAGCGGCAGCAGTAAAATATGTTTTTGCGAGTGACACCGACCTCAAGACACAAACCATTTAGCAATATCTGGGATTCCAAAATACACGATAATCCATCGACACCTGTCTCTTGGCAATGAAAATGTTTTCTTTATAGTTTGAGGCCTCATCTCTTCTGAAAAAAAAAAAAAAAGAAAAAAGCTATGGAGCCAGATACACTTGTTCGAAGCGCATTCCGGGAAAAGGGTTTCTAAAGTGAAGCCTGCTCGATATTCTATTCACATGATTTTGTGCAAGAGCACTAAAATCAATGGAAACCAAATTGACAGATCTGCAGGAGCGTGCGTCACAATAAACTGACAAACTCTTTTTCTATAAGAAGGTAAAAATAAGCCATTGCCAATAGCTATCATTCCACCTCTATAGCCAATTCATTATACTTGATTCTCAAGGAAAGGTCTCCTCACATGCACGTGACTCGAGGCATATACTAGGCATAAAAGCTTAAGAAAAAATATGTTGGTCAATTAAAGAAAAGTTTAAATCCTTGACTGTGAATTAAGAACGCCATGCTTTATACTAGCCTAAGTAGACAGCAGGCGTCAAACTTATGAGAAATAAAACGGTAAATCTTACGTTTGCACAAAGTTTTCACGGAGTGAGCGGGGACATAATATAACAGGGAATATAATATCTTTCTCAATACGATTACGTTGAATAACCTCCGTTGCCCATTTCGTACAACGCCAACGAAACATATGTATATAGTACGCCAGTGTGTAAGAGTCTCCGTAGGTACGCGCGTGAACCGAACACACAGATAGTGTCACCTTCTCACGAGAAGCCTTATAAAAATACGTAAAATTCAGTCATAATACAACAACAGTCGTGCGCGAACAGAATAAATAACACAAGCTGGATTGAAACACTGTACAAGCGTATAGTCAGGTTTTAAAAAATAAATTCTCCATTATCGGTCATGGACTATGTTACAACGACTTCATAAGAGTTTATGAAACGCTCGCAAATTCACTGGTTTCGCCGAACCAGGCCCACACGACGACACCAGAAGTTAAGCACAAATGTGTGAATCCGGCAGGTTCACACGGCGAACTCGATCATCACACCAAATTCTGAACAGCAATGCAACAACTAAACCGTCCGCGTGAACCTGCCGGATTCACGACACTCACTCAGCGAAATGAAAATCAACAAAACGCATGGTATTAGCTTTTTGGTTGGCATGGACAGAAGACAAGACGTGCTAAGATGGAGCTAGACTAGTACTATACACAATGATTACCAGCATGATCACAGAAATGCCTTTTGGAGACGGGTACCCATGTCACCATGATGCCACTGAGTCCTGCTTAGTCGGCATGATATTCCGAAGGAAAAGGGGGTCGAAATTCTTGTCACCGGTTTCCGCAAGTCACTGAGCAGTTCTTCCTCTCTGAAAGCAGCGTAGGACCTAAGCAACTGTTTGTCCTCGACTAACTTCTCGCTCCTCATTCGCCTACCTGCTTTCACGCACTAGAGACTTTGTACAGTCGCTACGGGGACACTAATGGAGCAGAGTTGAACTACACGTCACTCTTCTTGTGTGAACCAACCATAGACGGGACAATGTTCCGTGATTAAGTCTGGAACTATACTGTGTCATCCAAGTTTTCTTTATATTGTTAGATGCGTGTCTCTGGTCTTCGTAGTGCTCGGTACGCAGCGTCAATACAAGCTCTAAATTCAATTGTTTTACGTTTCTCTATCGCAATCTAGGACTAGACACTCGTTAGCGTTTCCTCGAAACAACATGAAGCATTAACCCTTTACAAAAAAAAAACAAAAAAAAACAACAACAACAACAAAATAAGGCCTAATTTACGAAGCCGCGAGGGTATCTAGGCTTGATACCCCAATATTAAAATAACAAATCTAATTTAAATTCATATAAGAGGTGCATAATTACAGCAGTTAACCGATCACGTCCACTCAGTAATTGAACGTGCCGGAAAGATACTCCTAAAGTACGCAAATAAATTGGTTCGTGAAATACAAAAAGACTTGAACAATGAACCATCCGAGGCATTACAGTAATGGTAACGGCACTCTTATTTAGAAATTATATTTAATCTACTAATGACTTTGGATTTCTGACAAAATACGCTGTTATTGTCGAAACTATTCTGTATTTTTTCTAGGGTTGTCGCTGTATTTATCTGGGTTTCTTTAAACAAATTTACGATTCGTCTGGTGGTGAAACAAGTTTGATATGTACGGCAGGCTACTCAATTTAACATTATAACATCGAGCTAGTATTTACGGGTGCATACTTAGAAACCATCCTACAGACATTTTTGATCCATCAGCTAACACTACATACAATAGAAAGTGCAGATATCCTAAACTTTGCAGCCAAGAGCTGCGGCACAAATGAAAGCAGGCAATTAAACGTTAATCCAATTTCATCCTAAGCAAACGAGCACTGTTCTTAAGTCCCAGGTCAGTCGCTGCGATTCATTAGTTCCGTTCAGCAGCTGTACGAAGCGCCGCATGTCAGCTGCTGGTTAACCTCCGGAAGGACCGGAGACAGTCTTGACGTCACGATTCACTCACGTAGCACAACGGTTGCTGCATGATTTCAGAGTAGAGGCTGAACTCGCCCAAGGAACGTCCTCTTCAGCAAGGCTGAATGTGTGGCCGACATCCCGAGACCTGCAGGAGTCACTGGCTGCGCCGTGCCTTGTTCCGCAAGGTGGCGCAGAGGTCTCGCAGTCATCATATGGTCGTCTCGAAGGTGTACGTGACGTTGAAGGAGGGATTGTCGAACGAGTTTTCGCGGCCGAGGCCTCCGTTGATACTGCCGTTCTCGTCGACGATGTCCGGACGGAGCGCCTGCTGCTGCTGGGCTGGGCCCCAATCTTCGGTGGGCCGCATGCATACCGCCACACGCTGTAACCGAAGAGCGTTTGCTTGGCTAGTTGCACGGAGGGAACTGCTACGCGTATATGGTTTGCGTACTGAGCCCCTGTCTTTTTAGGTACACTTTCCGCGCTGATGAGTCGGGGCGCCTGCTGTCGTGTGCTCATAGCTGTGTCCTTCGCTATGTCGGGACGGAGGGGGGCCAGATTGGCATGTGCCTTGTTTCAAACTCGTAGCCTGTTCTTTTTTTTTCTTCAAGCATTTACACGAGAATATGTATATGTCTACAGTTACTGGAGGGTGGGCCAGCGGGTGCACTCTTGTAAGGGTTCTCAACCTTGCGCACTGCTGAATTGGTAAATGGAACGAGATGTAATGACATCTAGGAGATCTCCTCAAGGTAAATATTTATTTCCTTATTTATTCGAAATACCTCTAAAGGACCTCTGTAGGAGGGTATTACATGGGGGGGGGGGGGGGGAAGGAGAGGGAGCAAGCAAATATATCACAGTACACAGAAAATACACCAAAAACATACAAAGACAATATGGGAACAAGGAATAAAAAAGGATAAGTACCTGCCTAGTATAAAAATAAGGCTAAATAAATGCGCACAAGCTCTTGGAAGTTAGACATATCTAGTTTAGTTGCAATGTGAGTCGATAGGTTGTTCCAGTCGATTATGGTTTGTGGTAGGAACGATCGTGGATAACTAGATGAGTGGCATGTGATGCGCGTTACTTTAAATGAATGATCGCGACGTAGAAAGAAAATGGGGAAAGTTTTAAACAAAATCGTCGTGAAGTGAGGCAGGGTGATAGAGCTTGTGAAATAATGACAGACGGGCTGGTTTACATCGGCGTGATAGGTCTTGCAACTCAGTTTGATTTTTAATGCGGTGAGACTGGAAAATGGAGAGTAGTCAGAACAAATGAAAAGAGCAACACGGTTTGCAGGGACATGAATGATGTTACTTATAATCTAGGCTTGCTCAGGATCCCATATTACAGGAGCATAACCATTGACGTCTGATTTCCCACTTACTGCGGCTACGACCAAAACCAGTAGCAACTGCTACCACCCACTTGCTCTACTGACGTCTATGTCCTGGTTAGCTCTGTTGGTAAAGCTCTCCGCTAGTCTTGGAGAGGCCCCGGAATCGAATCCCGGACCAGGCTGACTTTTTCAGCCGTCACCAGTCTCCAGAAGATGCGAGTTGCGCTTTATTTAAGGGGGAACTTAATCTGATTTTGCGTTAATAAAATTGCCAACACATAATATTGTTATCATCATCATCATCATCATCATTGTTGAACAGGATTTTTTTTTTCAGTTTGTTATTGCTTTGTTCCAGTTTGATATATCTATTTCACTTTAGGGTTCTGTAGCTCAACGATTTTAGGGTTTTTTTAGCTATAGTTTGGAGTTATCTTCTTTATGTTTGCGGATATATTTATTATAGTTTGGGGTAGCCATTTTGAAGGTTTGGGTTTGTGTTGCAGTATAATATTTTTGTTTTGGTTTTGGGCGTTTTTGTTTCCGTTTGTAATGTCTTTGTTCCAGACTAAAAACATTCAACATGAAGTAAAAGAAAAAAAAAATTCTCCATGTGTTTGGTCCAAACCCCGAAAAAAAAAACAAAAAACGACCGGGACACGTTTGGTGTTAATATTACACGGGTTCGCACCGCAATTCATACTGCGCTAATGCGGATTTCACATTTTTTGAGGTCAGAAAGAGAAAGTCAGCGAGTTTAAAATACGTTAAGATAATTAAATGATCTACTGTTGTTACGCACACACGTTCCATTGTTAATTATGCATGACATTTTATGAATGAAACTTGTGTCCTCATTGGATTGTTTAGTAGGATAACGTTTAGATTTCACCAATACCTTCCTGACATCCTTTTGTCTTATTTCTTAAAAAATCATATCAGCCTTCTGAACGGCGATAGCTTCGATATTGTTGGTTTTTAAGAAGGAGCACGAGGCCACCAAAGTATGGATCAATTATATAGCACTGTTACAAAAAGGGAGAAATGTTTGCGTTCAGATTAGGTTCACATATCTAAAACGGGACAACACTAAACAAGCAGGACTTACGTAGGATAGGCTTCCCTTGGGCACAGAGCACAGCTTGATGATCATGATGATAAGGATGGCTGCAATGGGTATGAACACGATGGTCCATCCCACCCCTATAGCCCAGGGAGGGTAGTTCGTCCCTTTGGCTTGGGAATGTTCCACGATATTGAAGATCAAGATGAACTGCACACCAAAAAAAAAAATTAATAAATGGTTTTTATACTGAATGCCTATATGTTCAGTGTATAGTGCGTGCGAATAATGCTTTGAGTCGCTAAAACAGGACGTACCACGAGCGTTGCTGGAGTGAAATACTTCCACATGACAGTCCAGAATCGAGTCCAAGCGTACGATCGAGATCCAATCATCTTTTCAATGTCACACAAAAACTTTTCGGCCCCTGTAGAAAAAAAAATAACAAGGTGGCACATTTATTTTCTTTATTTGACCGGAATTTATCGCGTACTTTTATTGGTAAATAGCAAATATTAGAGCTAGTAAATTATTATCTTTTTTCTGATTATGTAGACCCTGTGACGCAGGAGGCCCCTTTTGATGGAAATAAAGAAAAACAAGTTGGTGTTTATCAAGATTTATATATTAAAAAAAATGAAGACACTTAAGACTACTTGCCTGTAGGAATGCGAAAGCATTTCTAGACGCAGCGCATTCCTACAAGCAGAGCGTCACGTCTTTCTTTTTCTTCGAGGCGAGAGCGCTGGCCTACGGATCCCCAGGTGGCGGGTTCGAATCCCGACCGAGGTGCCCGCAATATGTCGGAGGCTTATTGCGGAGAAGGCGCCGTGTAACCGAGCTTTCGGTTGCACGTCAAAAGATCCCCAGGTGGTCGAAATTAATCCTCAGTCCTCCGCTGGGGCGTGCCAGATGCCCGTCGTAGGTTTGGCGCGTAAAACCCCCAAATTTGACGTCTTTCTTTTTCACACGGCGCTCCGGCGGTGACATCACGCCCCCCACTGCGCAGGCGCGGCACTCTCGCCGGCTCCACGGCTTCCGTGACGATGCCTCTGCGTTGCTGTGCTTTTCTTTGTGTATTATTTCCGAGGCGCGTCCGCTTTGAACTTGAACGCCCCGCCGGATTCTGTGACGAAGCGTCTGCGCTGCCGTGCTTTTGGCCAATAGGCCATTAGGTGCCGTTTCGTTCAGCCAATGGGAAATGAGGTGCCTTTTTTCGCTGCTACAGACGGAATTTAGGTGCAGTTTCTCGCTGCTGCAGACAACGCCGGCTTCGCTCGATGGGACATTTAGCGCTTTCGCATTAATAATATGTGACATACAGATGACAAAAAAAAATATATATATAAACGGGTCATCAAGTTTATACTCCGTTTCACACTAAGTACGACCGCAGTTGGCGCTACCATCCGATGGAGCCAATCAAGCAGCAACAAAAGTGCACCGTCACGGCGCTCGTCGTCTTTCTCGCCTTTGCTGTTACAGTCAAAGCCAATGATGTACAGTGAGTGCGTCGCGATTTCGAGCTTTCTTTGTGTGATTGGTTTATACGGTGATGGGGAACGCACAGGGCGGCGGGCGCCGTGACGATGCACTTTTGGCGTTGAATGATTGACTCCACCGAATTACAGCGTCAGCTGCGGTCGTACTTAGAACAATAAGGAAAACAGTACCCCATATGTAGGCGATTCTACCGGTCGTTGGTTGATTTGATTTCACAATATATTCGCAATTTTAAAATATTTCTTAGCTTTCTGCTTTTATGATTTTAAGGTAGCCAATATTTTCGAACGGAATGAACTCATCAGCCGCCCACTGTTCGTGTTCCGCATAGTGCAACTTGCACTAGACACTTCTTCAACAGTCCATCGAGCAACAATGGCGGTCGCCATTTCTCGTTTGTTTTTAGACTCAGGCTAGGTGGTGCAAGCTACCGCCAATTACAAAGGGCATAGCCATTAACACCCATCCATCCATCCATCCATCCATCGGACATGAAGTGTATGATTGGATACATGCTTAAGCTGGACGCTGACCCAGCACACGTTTTCGATGCCAGCTGACCCGAGTTCACGCTGAAGTCACCCTCGTGTTCGATAGATGCTCGGAGTACGTGCCAAACCATGGAGGTAGGAAGCTTCTGGGGGCGACCAAAACGGCTGTGGTTTTGCTCATCGCTGGGGGCGTGTTACTCCGCACTTCTGGCTTTACCTCTGGTGATGTCATGTCACCTTCAGAGCTTCCATGTGCCAAAAAATGGTCGACTAAGATAATTGACGCAGCGGCTACTAGATGGCACGCACTTTGAAAGGTGTCTGCTGTAGGATTCTTGTGGGAGATTGTGGAACCATAAGCTGCATTCAACAATAAACCATTTAGAGTGTGGTAAAGTTAAAAGTAGCAGATTATTGCGGTCTTCGTGATGTAAACATATATTTATGATTTTCAGCGATAAGCAACAGTTTTCGAAGGGAGCAAATTTATGCTGAAGACGAAAAGCAGTTCTTACCGTAGTACCAGGATATCAAAGTGCATTCTCCTATGGCAATGACGAGCACTGATAAACTCGCCGCATACTTGTCAAAGAGTTCCAACCAGTGTACTCCAGCCTGCAAGATAATATAGAGTTTTGTTTGGAATTGTGATTCTTGGCAGGGTATCAATACGCAGATTTGATAATAGGCGTTTCAGAAAGGACAGCCTATTTCACAGATATGAGATGAGGGGATCCATTGAACGGGTTTAGTAGGACAGATAACCTGAAATCTTAGCGCGCATTGTGCAGATGTAATTATATTTGAACATCACAGTAAAAACACAACTAAAACCAAGAACTGTGGATTTTGAAGTTGAGCACATTATTTCCGGGTCACAAACACCCGCGATATAAAAACAGTACAAACGGTAGAATAAATGTCACGCGAAAAAGTTGTGATTTTTTGTCTTACAAAGGTACTGAGGTATTGCAAACCAATATGCAATAATCTTTTTGCAAGAAAATCGTTATATGAATAGAGCAAAAAAAAATAAATTAATTCTTGCATGATGAAGAGCTTTAAACTAGAATCCTCCGGGATACCTAGAATATGCGTTATATAATGTCTTTAGTGTTTTGATAACGTAAATATTTAGATTATCATATGTTATATAAATGACGTAGATCAACCTAGATTTTTAAATTTTCTTGATAGAAGAGATTGCAATACCTTTGAATTCCAACAGAAGACATTGTGATAAAACCGACTGCAATAGGGAGCGGCGAAACGAGTACAACAAAACTAGAAATACAGAGAAATCAACGAAACATATTCAAAAGCAAAATAAAAAATAATTGTGATTTTATAATGAGATAATTTCGAAATACAGTGTTCCTTCTTAAGCTTAGCGTATTTGTTTAAAAAAAAAAAAAAATCCGTGAAAGCTCCACTAATGCGGTTTGTGCAGGTGAAGTATACCGCCAGGGGGTATAGTATAGGGGGCTAATCGTAACGAGCAGTTGCTAATTAACTAAAATATATTTATTAACTTTTTCAACACTGAAAATAAACATGTGGCTCTAAATATAAACTTGCTGAGCGTCATCGAAATTCACGAAATCAGTTAATATTCTAAAGACTTGTAGCATGCTGGAAGCACGGTGGGGCGCTAAATATACCACTCGTGGAGCAGGAGCAAGGCAATTTGGTGCTATGAAGCGCGCGCGCGCGGTTTTTGCGTCCCTTGTCCGCTTTTTTTCACCCCAGCCTTGTGCCTGTTGCACTAGTGATAACTACAGCGTAAACTGCGCTCCCAACGTGCTCGGTCTTTCTAAAAATTTTTGATTGAGTAGCTTTCGATGACGCTTAGCAACTTTTTAATTGTATCCATATATCTCTTTTTATTCATTAATAGTTAGTCAATACATGTTAGTTAATTATTCGAATTATCGTGACGATTAGCCACCTATATTATGTTTCCCCGGCCGTATAACTCACCTGCACAAACTGCATTAGTATAGGCTTTCCCGGCTTTTTTTTAAAAACAAATCTGTAAAGCCTAAAGAAAGACACCCTGTATAGTGGATGATCGAAGGGTTCCTGCAGTGAAGTAAGGCTAAATCGCTAGCTGAATTCCTGCTTCTAGCGAAATACAGTTTCATCCTGAGGAATCGAAATATTTATGATTGTAAATGTTTGCAGCGAGGCGCGTCTGTATTATGCATTCACTGTCACTGTAGTGACTGTCAGTACTAACTTTCTCTTTTATTTGCATTGTATCACCAGTACGTCTCATGGGGCCGTACCCTGGTTGTAAAGATGAGGCCACCCACGTAGCCGAACACCGATATTGCGAGAACCACCAGAGTCTTGCGCTCTCTGAGGTTGGGAAATCTGTCGAACAGCGCCGTCGACACGGTTTCCAGAAGGGCAAACTGCAACGAAAAAAGGTGAACCAATAAGAATCTTCAATTTTCTTGGCACGCAACCAGAACCGTCGAAAGCAAAAAAAGTGCTTGGCATGCAGCCAGAGCCTTTTGTGCGTTCATTAGTAAAACCTACTCAGTGCATTACAGCTGTTGAAATGTAGACAACCATTGAAACAAAGCAATACCCGACGAAAGCAAAATATTGCGCTAAATAACATATCGTACGATTAATTAATTCAGAAGCGCTTATAACTAGGGTGTGCATTTTCCGGTTTTAACCGAAAAACACCGATAAACATCCGTCGGTGACTAAAATATAAAATCGGTTAAAACCGAAAAACACCGGTGGTTTGATATTTTCGCCGTGGTTAAAACCGAAAAACACCGGTCGTTGCTAGTTTCCGACCTAGCGAAACCCTTTCCCCGTAGAGGTTCGTCAAACGTGTTATCTCGTGGATCCTGCATTTTTCCAGTGTTTATACATGGCTTGCAGGTGGCGTCAGTCCGCCCTCCTTTCTGGGGGTCAAAAGCGTCTAGTGAACGCAGTGGAAGCTAAGCTCTCAATGCCTTTCCCCTATTGTGTCTCCCAAGGCCCCCTTTTGTGGAAAAATTAACGCATTGGAGGATAGGCTCTAACGTGCCTTTTCCTCATTGTGTCTGGCCAAGTGATGTTGGTGCAAGCCATGTATTCAGAGGTTGCTGTTGTTCCTGGAAGACACTGCCAACGTCCGTGTCGTACAGGACCGTGTGTTTTCATACTTGCGGGTTGCAAACCGCAAGGAACGTGCTGCCATGAGGGCAGCACGTTCCTTGCGTGTAGATGCAAGCATGAAAGTATGCTTGCATCGACTATAATAACCAAGTGTGAGAAACAGTTGCTTCCTAGAGAAGAAGTGTATGAACTATGTGAATAAAATTGGAACTCTCTGTCTCTGATCAATCGCCTTTTTTTCACCGATAATCACCGATTTTAGCCTCGTCGTGAGACGTTCCACCGAAATACACCGGTGTTTTGAAAATATATAAACACCGAAAAACATCCGCCGATTTTTCTCACAAATAAACACCGGAAAGTACACACCCTACTTATAACCTTTCTTTTAATCTTTTAAAAAAAAAGGGCTATTTGTATTGCTTTTTTTTTTCGGGACAGATACTCAGGCGACACTGCTTATAGTATTTGGGGGATCCTCTGTGGATATAGGAGTGTACAGAGGATTTCTCGACAACTAAGACGAAAATAGTTGTGATTATATAGTACTTATATACCCGCAGAAGTTTTTTTTTGTTTTTTTTTTGTTTTTTAAGTGAAGTTAGTCACAATTTTACGGACCTATAAAAGTTTTAAAAATATATAATCCTGAGGTAGGTTTTCATCTGCAATATATGAAGCCATGGTGAGGCAAATTTTACGTGCAGCCAATTTATGAGCTAATAATTTCCTTTTCACTTATTTGTGCTGCGATTTTTGACAAAGGTGTAAACACGCGTTGTTACGAAAGCGCCGCTGTTCATGCGTCGCTCTGTTCACATTCTTTGAAGAGCTTAAGTTTACTTACCATTGCTTTCATAGGTGCACTAAATGAGCTTTTAAGATCTCCTTTCTATGGCGCGAAGTCAAATTATGCGCCCCCCAGCATCCTGGAAAACTGGACATTTATAATCATGCTTGGCATTTTTTACTATTAAAATACAACGGAACATCACGAGATTTTTTTCATCAATTTTATTTATTGCAACCTCAAATCGCCCTCAGGTGGCTTTACATGACGGGGAACAAATATATATATATATATATATATATATATATATATATAACGGTTATCGCGCTTGCCTCCTACGCAGAAGGCCAGGGTTCGATTCCTGGCCGCGACTACACATTTTTGTTGACAGTGTAATTTGATGTTCTAGTGAATTCGAGAACCGTCTTGCTGATTCGAGGTTAGAATGTTTTACACACCGAACCTTCTACGCCGAACGATCCAGAAACCCACGAGGGTTCATAAGGGATTCCGCAAGGCGAGCGGAGTCAGTTTTCGCCCCAGCGTTCGACTCTGCTGTTACGCCGACTTCGACGCCCGCGACGCTCTCTTATTATCTCTTGTACCCTTTTATTTTTGGCACAAGTTCGCCACATTAAACATTTATTTATTCCTGTTTATTTCTTGTTTATTGGTCACCACCCGTGACATTTTGGTGGAGGTGCGGGGTACCCGCATGCCCGTGCAGCGCTCCCCTCCGAGTTCCCGCAGTGCGAGTCCGGACCTAGCCTCCCAAGGACCGAGCGAAGACCAGATCGAGACACGATCCAGTCGCCGCACCCAAGGTCTACCCCCGGAACACGGACTTCTGCCACCCCGGACCAGGCAGCCAACGAGGCCGACGATGGACAAGCAGTCGTCGCAGAACCCGTCCGCCGCCGCCGTCGTATACCTTCCCGTCGCACCCCGGACTCCGTCGCCATTCCACGGGGAGGTCCACGAGGACGTTGAAGATTGGCTGCAACATTACGAACGAGTTGCTCGCCATAACGCATGGACTCCGGAGCAGTGCCTTCAGAACGTCTACTTCGCTCTGGAAGGGACGGCACGCACCTGGTTCGAGAACCACGAAGCGTCAATTTCGTCGTGGCAAGACTTCCAGACGGAACTTCGACGCACGTTTGCCAGCCAGCAGCGACGTCAGCGGGCCGAGGAACTTCTTCAAGCAAGAAGCCAAGGGCCAAACGAGAGCGTCACAAGTTTCGTCGAGGACGTTCTCCGCCTCATGAACCGCGCCGACCCAAACGCTCCTGACGAGAAGAAGCTGCGGTTCCTGATGCGAGGGGTGAAAGAGACCATCTTCGGAGGCCTTGTCCGCAACCCCCCAGCCACCGTCGAAGATTTCGTCAAGGAAGCCACAAACATCGAACGGGCCCTTCACGCACGGGCCTCCCATTACCAGCGACTTCCCGGCGTCGCTGCCTTCTCGACTTCCAGCTGCACCGGCCCGGACCTCCGCGACATCATCCGGGACGTCGTGCGGGAGGAAATCAGGAAGCTTCTTCCTGCTGCCGCAAGCCCGGATTCGCCCTCAATCGCCGTGATTGTCCGGGAAGAAGTTCAGAAGGCGCTGCAGCCACAAGCTCTTGTCAACGCCGCTCCCGAACAACCGACACTGAGCTACGCCGCAGCTACCCGACGACCACCGCCCCCTGCTCACCCGTACACCGCGCCACCCCGACGTGAACCTCCAGCGCCGCAGTTTCCCCGACGCCAGGAAGATCGGGCGCACGCCCACCCAGAACAGGCAGCGCCACGAAAGACCGACGTGTGGAGGACAGCGGATCGACGACCCCTGTGCTATCACTGCGGTGACGCCAGCCACATTTACCGTCGATGCCCCTACAGACAACTGGGGCTGCGCGGGCTCCACCCGAGCGACCCCCGCCCAAGATACAACGAACACCCTCGCGACATTGAGGAGTACCTCCGACGCTCGCCCTCCCCATGTCGTCTCTCCGCCGTGAAGCCCGCTCCCCATCGCCACGACGTTCAGCGTTCCCAGCGCAACGACCCCGCCGAGAGAGCCTATCTCCCCTGCGTCGCCGGGAAAACTAAGTGCGGCAACGCCTGGAGGTGACGTTGCCGAAAACGACGGAAGCAAACAGCCTCCAAGAACGCCGGAGCGCTCCCACTCTACCGACGCCCAGCATCGTACCCACGTCCCTGCAACGGTGTCCAACAGCCTAAACGTTGTTATTGACGGCCTCGACGCATCGGCACTCGTGGACACCGGAGTGGACTACTCAGTCTTGAGTGGGAGGCTCTCTCGCCGCCTGCGAAAAGTGACGACGCCGTGGGATGGACCTCAAATACGAACCGCCGGAGGGCATCTCATCGCACCAGTCGGAAGATGCAGCGCTCGCGTCACGATCCATGGGGAAACGTGCCCTGTGAAATTCGTCATTCTACAAGACTGTGCCAGGGACGTCATACTCGGCATGGACTTTCTGTCTGAATACGGCGCCGTCATCGATTTTCGTGAAAACAGATTGACGCTGCGAACCCCTGTGCCACCTTTAGAGAAACCCCAAACAGCGTCAGCCGCCATCCGAGTCGCTGCCGACCACGTGAACCTGCCACCGCGATCAAGTGTTGTCATACCCGTCGTGGCCGATACAGCGACCTGCGGCGAAGTTGTCCGGGAAGGCAACCTTCAATTGCTCCTGGGAAGAGGAATAGGCGTCGCAAGAGGAGTAGCTGAACTTCAGGATGGGCGGACTGTGGTCCTCGTGACGAACTTCCGAAATGAAACGCAACACCTCACAAAAGGTGCTGCTGTGGGCCACGTCGAGAAACTTCGGAACTCCGCCGAAATCGCCGCGATCGCTGAAGAATCATCACCACCTCAGCAAGGCAGTAAGTCGCCAGCGCAGCTTGACATTGACCCTAAGCTTCCGGGCCCAAAACGACGGCAGCTGATTAACCTCCTCACCGAGTACCGCGACTGCTTTGCGACGTCGTCGAGGGTGCGCCAAACTGCCGTTGCGAATCACCGAATCGTTACCGAGGACGACGCGCGCCCTGTGCGTCGATCGCCGTACAGAGTCTTCGTCAAAGAAAGGGAGGTGATCCAGGAGCAAGTCCAAGAGATGCTGAACGACGACATAATCCAGCCATCAAGCAGTCCTTGGGCTTCCCCAGTCGTACTGGTTAAGAAGAAGGACGGAAGGCTTAGGTTCTGCGTGGACTACCGGCAGCTGAACGTGGTGACGAAGAAAGACGTCTACCCACTTCCCCGCATCGACGACACGCTAGACCGGCTGCGCCACTCTCGATACTTCTCATCGATGGACTTGAAGAGCGGCTACTGGCAGATCGAAGTCGACGAACGGGACCGAGAGAAGACAGCTTTCGTCACGCCGGATGGGCTGTACGAGTTCAAGGTGATGCCCTTCGGACTATGCACGGCGCCAGCAACTTTCCTGCGTGTCATGGACACCGTACTGGCAGGACTGAAGTGGC